TTGCTTTCCTTAAATTTCGATGTGCTTAACCTTAGAGGTCGCGGCCGGCGAGGACGGGAACGCGTTTTGTTCAACTGTGAGGCGGTTGGTCAGGCGGGTTTGTGAGTGCTGCTTATTATGTCTTTTAATTCTGTCTCGTCGTTGGAGTGATAAGAAGAACCTTTGTGGTTTGTTGTTGTTGTATGTTTGTTTGTTTTTACTGTTTAGGTTTCCCTCCTTCTCGGCCCTATTAAGCAAAAGCGTCCTGGAAGAGAATTTCTCTGCACGCATCTACAGTTGGCCTATGAAGGCGTGTGTGCAGAAGATGCTTGCTAATAGTTAGTTCCTCGAGGCATTTTAAAATGCATACCCACTTTAGGTGGTCTCCAGGGACGCGGGATTCTCTAAGCAAAGGTCCTTAGCGTCCTGAGTTTGGCAGCAAGCTTTCGGGGAATCATTTCTGTGCCAAGAGTTTATTAGTAGTACTTTGAATACCTACCTTGAAAATAAAGGCAAATGACGAATATGAGCTTGGGGTGCAGTTTAATGGACCAGCCTCAGAGTTTGTTTAGTGATTGTCGTTTTTGTATCAAATCATGTTTGTTTTTGTTGTTGTTGTTTGGTACCGGGGTTGAACCCAGGGATACTTAACCATTGAGCCACATCCTTAGCCATTTTATTTTATTCTTTGTGGTGCTGGGGATTGAAACCAGGGCCTTGTGCATGAGAGGTAAGCACTCTACCAACTGAGCAATATCCCCAGTCCCCTAGCCCTTTTAATATTTTATTTTGAGACAGGATCTGGCAGAGTTGCTTGGGATCTCGCTAAGTTGCCCAGGCTGGCTTTGAACCACCTTCTGGTTCAAATCCTCCTCTGAAGCACCGCTGCACCTGGCCCATTTTATTTCAGTGTTGACTGTGCACCTATATTAAGGTGTTAGTGTTTTTTTCATTCCTGTACAGTTGAATTCACGTTTACTATCGCAGTTGTTGTTGTTGTTGTTGTTTTAATTGCTAAAGTATTATTGTTTTGGAATGATAGGACAATAGTGGGCCTGGAGGAGCACATGAATTCGAACCAACCTACTGGTATTTTGTGGACAGACCCAGTTTAATGTTTCTGTTTTTAGCATGCTTAATAAGAATTCAGTGAACTTATTGTGCCTTCAGTGCAGCCTTAAGGAATTCACTATCCACAGCAATGTGCTTTTTATTGATCAAAATGTTTTTTTGCTGTCCCTAGAACCGAAGAAACAAAACCTCTGGGTGGAAGGGATTGACCTGTGAAAGGACATGTAAACATACAGTATTTAAAGAGTAAGTCATTTAAAAGTAATTATGTCACCGACCTTGATTTAACCAGTTAATTATTCACACTGTAGAATAACTTCTCTGTTGTGGAATAAAATGTTAATTCAATCAATCAGCATTGGATAATGAGTTTGTCAGTTTGGGCACTCAGGAAATTGAGAACTGTTTTTACTGAGCTATGTTGGGAGTCCCCCCCCCCAAGAGCCCCCCAATGGTGAGCCCTGCTGACTCACAGGATCCTTACCCACCAATCAGACTACTAATTTCCCCATCCCCCCCCCCCCCAGAAGAGCCGCCCAATGGTGAGCCCTGCTGACTCACATGATCCTTACCCACCAATCAGAAAGCACCCTGGCTCTATAAATATGCAGAGCCTGTTCCTCAATAAATGGGCACTTCTCCGACAACCAGCCTTGTCTGGTAGTTCTTTCAGGCTAGACTGAGGGCCTGGGGTGAGTGATCAGTATCTAGGAAAGAGTTTATTTTGGGAAGAATCAATGCTTTGGTCTCCTCCAGAAACTCTTTCTAGGCTTGATGGATATCTCCTTTCCCAATACATTCTTTGACACTGGGAAAGAATGTATTGGGAAAGGATCAATGTGTTGCCTTCTTCCTCTTCCTAGGCCACACTATTTTGGGGTTTGTTATTTCCCATATGTAACAGGTACCCGCTTTTTGTTTTTTCCCCTCCAACCCAGGGCCTGGTGCCCACTGAGCAAGCACTCTACCACTGAGCTACACCCTTAGCTCAGGAAGAGGTTGTTTATAGTGATGTGACTGGTTGAAATTACCTAGGCAGGGGTGTACATAATGTGCTGGCACTTATTTGATTTATTTATTTATTTATTTTTGTAATAGAGATTGAACTTACAGGTGATTCACCACTGATCTATATCATCCCCCTTTTCCTTTTTTTTTTTTTTTTTCTGCATATAGATCTTACCAAGTTATTGAGGGTCTCAGTTGCTCAGGCTGGCTTTGAATTGGGATCCTTCTGCCTCAGTCTCCAGAGTTGCTGGAATTACAGGTGTGCACCACTATGCCTATATTGAATGTTTTTAGCGTGGAGGGTCGTGGGAGAGCACCATTCTGGGAAAACTAGTCCTATAAAGCCAAAGCAATTATCTGTGAGGCTTATCTCTAGTAACCACACAACTTGTATTAGGAAGCCTTATGTAATGATGAAGGCTGTTGTTCCCCACAGTCATACCACACTGCTTTGTTTAAGGTCTCAGCTCTGTTGCTGACTATGTAACTTCACAGCAGTGTTCTGTTTCAGTTTTCTTATCTGTGAAATGGAATAACAAAAAATGCATACCTCATGGGATTATTGTGATCAGTTATATGAGTTTCATACATGGAATACTCATAGAACAGCTACGGGCATATGATAGTACATATTAGCTATTGTCATGTTAGAGGAAGTGTTTTGTGACCTAATGCATTTAACATTGTCTTACAGGAAATTCATTTTGCTTTTTTTAAGCTCTAAGTAAATTTATGGAGCTTTGTGTCATTTTAAACCCATCCCTGTAGATCCCCACGAATGCTTTCTATGTCAGTTTGAGATAAAACAAGAATAGTTCATCAACCCTGGCTATTGAAATATAAGTTAAAGTTTATTTTGAAAGAAGCCTTTAGTTGTGTGTGGTAGGGCATACCTGTAACCTCAACTACTTAGGAGGCTGGTGCAGGAGGATCACAAGTTTGAGGCCAGTCTCAACAACTTAGCAAGACTTTGTGGGGGGCATTAGGGGGAGGCCTTTAGAGAAAAAGGTAATCTTATAGACCTTGAAGAATTCTAAGTGCATGTAGGAAGGCAGCTATGCAGTGCTTAAGTTCTTGATGCCCTAAGTGTACTTGTACATGAGGGAAACTGGGAGAGTGGCCTGTTGAAGCAAATTTCTCCAATGAGATTAGAGCTGTACCTTTTGTGCTCAAAGTTATAGTTGCCAAGATTTAATGACAATGACTTGAGATTCTCTTGAGATGTATCAAATTACAAGGCTTCTTTTGTAGAGTCTTGAGATGAAAATATCACTGTTAAAACTTAATTGGATGGTGTGATTTCTTAAACAGAAACCATAAGCAGATTGCTTTTTTTTTTTTTTTTTTTTTCCTTTTTGGTACCAGGGCGCTTGATGACTAAGCTACATCTCTAGCCCTTTTTAATATTTTATTTAGAAATGGGGTTTTACTGAGTTGCTTAGGGCCTTGCTATGTTGCTTAGACTGATTTTGAACTTGTGATCCTCCTGCCCCAACCCTTGAGATTATAGGCAGTTTCCTGATGCTTAAGTTAAGTTAAAAATGTTTTCATGTACATATGGCTAGTTTTTTACTTTTAAAATTTTTTAGTTATAGATGGACACAATACCTTCATTTTATTTATTTTGTATCTGGTGCCGGGGATCGAACCCAGTGCCTCATGCATGCTAGGCAAGCGCTCTACCAGTGAGCCATAACTCTGGCCCCGGCTAGGTTGTTTTTAAATGTACTTATTCCTTATTAGTGATCATAAATGTGAGGGTTTATTTATGGGTTCTGGCTTTCTATTGACCAAAGCCTATCTTACATGAATACCCCAGTGTTCTTGTTTACTGTTTTGTACTAAGTTCCAAATTTCAAGTATAAGTTTTCCAAGTTTGCTTTTTTAAGATTGTTTTGAATCTTCTCATCTCACTCTTCATATGAATTTTATGATGAAATCTTCAATTTCTGTAAAATCCTTAATTTTTAAAAAAATATATTTTTAGTTGTAGATGGACATAACTCTTTATTTTTATGTGGTCCTGATGATCAAACCCAGTGCCTTACATTCACTAGGCAAGCACTATACCACTGAGCCATGATTCTAGCCCCAAATCCTTAATTTTTATTCTGTAACCTAGTCAAACTAGTTTCTTAATTCTATTAGTTTTTTAGTGGATTTAATAGGATTTTCTATGTATTCATTATGTATCTGCAAATGACAGGGTAGTTTTAGTTCAGTTCCAATCTGGATACTTTGCGGGGTATAACTGCAATGGCTAGAACCTCTAGTAAAATATTGAATAGAAGTGGCAAGGTGGAATCCTCATGTTACTCCTGATCTTTTACAGGGAAAGCAGTCATTCTTTCACCATTGTTATTGGTATCAGGAATGATTCCCGATTCCCAACCATCTATTGAAGGCTTGGTTCCCAATATAGCGATACAGAAGTGGGACTTTTGGGAATCATGAGGGTTCTGAGCTCATCTGTGGGATGCATTGAGGGATTCATGGCTGAATGGATTATTGGGAACTTTAGGAGGTAGGACCAAGTTGAAGGGAGCAGGTTCTTGGGGACATGGCTTTGGAACTGTATCTAGTCCCTTATCCCTCTTTCTCCCTCTGCTTTCCAGAAATGAGGTGAGCAGATGTGCTCCATCATGTTCTGCATTATCACAGTGATGGGGCCAAATGAACATGGACTGAAACCTCTAAAGCCAGGAGCCAAGCCTGACATGGTTGTGTAATCCTCATGATTTTGGAGGCTGGGACAGAGGATTCCAAGTTTGAGGACAGCCTCAGTGATTTAGTGAGACCCTTTGCAAGTTAGATCCTGCCTCAAAATAAAAAGGTCTGGAAATGTTGCTCAGTGGTACAGCACAGCACCCCTGGGTTCAATCCCTAGTATTGGAAGGAAGGAAACCATGAGTCAATATAATCTTGTCTTTTTTTTTTTTTTGGTACTTGGAATTGAACCTAGGTGTACTTTATCATTGAGCTATATCTGTAGTCCTTTTTATTTTTTTACTTGTTTTTTTTAGTCTAATTTTTTTTCATATTAATACATGATGATGAAATTTGTTACATATTCAGTATACATACACAATATATATAATCAACAATGATAGTTGTACATAATAATGGGTTTGTTACATATTCGATATACATGTATGCTATAACAATAAAATTTGGCCAATTTTATTTTTTAGTTTAGGACAGGTTCTCACTGAATTGTGGAGGACCTAGGTACTGAGCTTAGCCTCAAACTTCAGATCCTCCTGCCTCAGCCACCCAAGTGGCTGGGATTATAGCATGCACCATCATGCCAGCCTGATCTGTCTTTGGCCTGTGTCTTTGGAATTGTATAGAGTTGTCTGCCCTTATGAACCACTGCTACACCCAAGGGAGGATTGTTGAACTCATTAATTTGTTAGGACACTTAAATGATATTTTGTAATCAAAGCATTCAGCACAGTTCTTTTTTGGTACCAGAGATTTAATTCAGGAGCGCTTTACCACTGAGCCAATTCCTGGCCCTTTTTTGAATTTTGAGACAGGGTCTCAAGTGTTTAGGGCTTCACTAAATTGCTGAAGCTAGTCTCAAATTTCCAATCCTCCTGCCTCAGCTAGGGAGTCACTGGGATTATAGGCATGCACCGCCACGACTGGCCTTGTGCTGTTCTTGATATGTAGTAAGTTTCCAAATATTAACTGTTACATTTTAATTTTTATTTATTTTTTTAATACTAGCTAAAATTTTGAAATAAATAACATAAAATTTAGAACAATTGATTCTAGAAGTCCAATTTCAAGGACTGATAGTGTAATTTCTTTTCTTTTTTTTTTTTTTTTTTTTTTGTTGAGAGAGAATTTTAATATTTATTTTTTAGTTTTCGGCCAACACAACATCTTTGTATATGGTGCTGAGGATGGAACCCGGGCCGCACGCATGCAAGGCGAGCGAGCTACCTCTTGAGCCACATCCCCAGCCCTGATAGTGTAATTTCTTAACTAAGAATAGAAAAGGAGCTACTATAGGTTGACTAAATCATGACACTTCTGAAATTCCTGAAAAGTGACTTAACCCCAAAGTGTTGGCATCTGTGGTTTTGTTGATTTTTTGTTGTTGTTGTTTTAATATTATGTATGATTTTTTTTTCACATACTTTTATTACAGATCAGTTTTTTTCAGTGAGAAATCCTGGCTTTGCACAATTTATCCACATCAGTGAATAGTCTACAAGAAATGTTGCTTTTTGTAATATTGGAGTTGTCAACTCTTATAAGAAATAGAGGTATAAATTAAGAAATGAGTTATTTTAGGCTGATCACTGTTGCATTCTGCAGTAATACAAATTTAAGCAAAATTGAACATGTGCTTCTGTAGCGATTTCAAAGAGGTTTTAAAGACAAAAGTCACATGGGGAGAGAGGGGTTACATTAATTGTTAGTGAATTTGTTTAGCTTGTATAGACAGGTTAGCAAGCTCTCTTGTAAGAAAAATATTGTATAAAAGTGGATTGTTCGAGTATACTAAACAGATTCTACTGGTGAGCTACATCCCAGCCCCACAAGAATTTTCTTCACCTTAGTGAGATCTTTGAGAATTTTTTCTTGGGGCTGGACATGTGGCTCAAGCTGTAGCGCACTCGCCTGGCATGTGTGCGGCCCGGGTTCGATCCTCAGCACCACATACAAACAAAGATGTTGTGTCTGCTGAGAACTAAAAAAAATAAATAAATATTAAAATTCTCAAAAAAAAAAAAAAGAAAAAGAAAAAAAGAATTTTTTCTTTTTGATACCAGGAATTGAACCTAGAGGTACTCCTCCACTGAGTCACATCCCCTGCCCTTTATTTTTTAAAATAAGGTCTTGAGTTACTTATGGCCTCATCAAGTTGCTGAGGCAGTCTTGCACTCCTCCTGCCTCAGCCTCCAGAATCACTGGGATTATAGGCATTTACCTCCCCCCCAACAAGATCTTTGATAAATTTTTAATGTAAGTCCACATCCATAGTAATTATATTTACCACTTATTTATAGAAACTCATATCCTTTTTTTTCCATTATCACAAATGACTTTTGCAACTCACAGCTTGCTATTCACAATTTCCTACACTTTGGATTTGAAGCAACTAGCTGTCTTTCCAGTTTTTTCACAGGAAATAGTAGCAGTAGTAATGCCATCTAAGATTTAAATCCCCCAGTTGTCAAATCTAATGATAGACATTGTCTGTTTACAGGAGGCAGGGTTTGGAGGTTCTTTTTTTTTTTTTTTTTTGAGATGGGTTCTCAATGTGTTGCCCAGGCTACCTGCTTCAACCTCCCAAGTCACTGGGAATATAGGCTCATTGTACCACAACCAGATTTTTTTTTTTTTGGGGGGGGGGGGGGGCACCTGGAATTGAACGTAGGGGTGCTGAACCACTGAGCCACATCCCTAGCCCTTTGTGTTTTTTAAATTTTGAGACAGGTTCTCCCCAAGTTGCTCAGTTTGGCTTTGAACTTGCTATCCTCCTACTTCAGCCTCCCAAGTCTTTGGGATTACAGGCATGTGCCACTGTGCCCAGCCCACAGCTGGACTTCTAAAATTAATTAATCATTATTCTTTTTTTATGCTACAAGAGGTTGAATGCAGGACCTTATTACATCCCCGGCATTTTTAACTTTTTTTTTTTAGATTCTTTTCAAGTTTCCCAGGCTGAGCTTGAACTTGCCAAGTTCCTGCTCAGACTCCCAAGTACCTGGGATCAAAGGCATGCATCACTACCCCAAGCAAATTAAACATGGTGTAATCTCTTCAACTGAGCTACAACCCCAGCACCAAATTTTAAAATTCTAGACAGTAAAATTTAACCTTAGATTTAGCTCTCTTCTCTACCAGAAAATCGACCACCATGGTTTATAAGTAAAAAGTGCTGAGTAATAATATCATTATGACATATAGAAAGTCTCCAGATTCCCTATAAAATAGGAATGTGTGAATTATGACCCTGAATTCTGAAATTTGGGCTATGGCTCTTTATCAACCTCAAAAAGGACTGCTTGTCTCGAAGTGAGGGCCAGCACAACTTACCAGCATCAGCACATTAGAATTGTCCATCTTGCAAATGGTAAAACTTGTTGGCGGATGATTGGGATTATTAGAGCCAAATTATGCTAACTACAGTAGTTCCAGTTTATTGGTGGGGGATATATTCAAGACTCCCAGATGGAAACTGAGTAGTGTTGGGTATTTTTTTTCTTTTTTTTCTCTCTCTTTTTTTTTTTCTCTTTTTGGTGTCAGAGAGTGAACTCGGGAACACTCAACCACTGAGCCACATCTCCCGCCCTATTTTGTATTTTATTTAGAGGCAGGGTCTCACTGTTGCTTCCTGCCTCACTGTTGCTGAGGCTGGCTTTGAACTTGTGATCCTCCTGCCTTATCCTCCCAAGCTGCTGGAATTATAGGTGTGCGCCTGGCTGTACTGGATACTATATTTTTACTGTGCATACATTATGATAAACTTTCACCTTCTCACTTAAAGGAAGCACTTTTACAGAATTTTTTTTTTCATACTTGAATTACCATCACGATTGCTCTGTCTTGTGCTTTCAGGCCATTTTTAAGTAAAATAAAGATTAGTTGAATGTAAGCACTGAAAACCATCTATCTGAGATGCCTACCAAGTGACTAGCAGGTAGATAGCATGTACAGAGTAGATACATTCATGTGCTGGATAAAGGGATGATTCATATTGTGGGCAGAAAGCTGTGAGATTTCATCATATTACTCAAAAAGGTACATAATAGTAAACCTGTGAATTGTTTACTTCTGGAGTTTTCCACTAAATCTTTTTAGGTCTTGAAAAGCAAATCCACGAATAAGGGAAGACTATCCCATATCTCCAGTCAGAGTTTCAGGTTTGCTCATTTACCTACACCGTATCTTACGAAGGGTATCCTAGGACAGTTCCCCACAACAGAGTCTAAGAATTTAGTTCCTTTAATAGCCAAGATGCTGAATAAACTGGAATATTCATCAACAGATAAATAGATAATGAAAATGTGGTATATGTGATGGAATATTGTTAACCCAAAAGAAAAATGATTTGCAGCAACTTGGGTAAGTGGAGGTCCTTATCTTAAGTGAAATAAGACAGGTACAGAAAGAAAAGTACAAAGTTGATTTCATAGAAGAATGGAATGAAATAGTGGTCACTATATACCGGAAAGGGCAGGTAGGAAAGAGGCATGAAGGGACAGAGGATGTTAAGAAAGGGGCACAAAAACAGAGGCTTGGTTTAGTGGCCCACACCTGTTACAGATATAAAGTCCAAATGCTCAAGGCCAGCCTTAGTGACTCAGGCAGACTTTTTCTCAAAATAAAAAGACTGGGAATTACCTAATTGGTAGAGCATTTGCCTGGCATGTGGAAGGCTGCGGGTTTAATCTCAGTACCAGAAAGTGGGGGGGAAAACAGATACGGAAAATTATTTCTGGTTTTCTATTGCATCTTAGGGTAACTTGTTAACAATAATCTATGCCTTATTTCTTTTTAAAAATTTTTATTTGTTCATTTTAGATATAAAATGACAGTAGAGTGTATATTGATATCAATTAACTTCCCATTCTTTTGATTGTACAATCCATCAGTCTATGCCTTATTTCAAAAAACAAAAGGAGAAAAGCTTCCAAAATATTAAAATGATTGCCTTTAAGGAGATGCAGGTAATCTGATCATTGTATACTGCCATGACCCACACAGCATCACAAACTATCTTGAGAAAAGGCTACTGGAGATGGAGAAAAATACAGAAATAAAGAAAATAGATAATTTTAAGCAAAGCTGGGGCCAGATGGGACACTGCCCTCTGATGGAGGACAGTGACCCAGAACTAGCTCTGCAAATTTATGATATAGTGTCTCATAACCAGGAAGTTAAACTTCAGGGACTTTGTAAATTGTTCAAGGCATATGAATTAACAAGAGGCTTCTTTTGTGTATTAAATAGGTATAGAGCTAGAAACATTTTTGTAGCTATCCTACTGTTACAGTGCTAGGGACATCAGTTATCCTGCAGCACCCAGGAAGCCCATTGTACTGAAATATTGGATAACTGTTAAGTGTCAGATCCTAGTGTCAAGGCTGTTAACATCCTTGCCTTTTGGCAAGGAATGTTTCCCACGTTGGCTTTTGCCAACACTACAAAATCAGTTGATGACATGGGGCTCTTCTGCTTTTCATAGTATACATGTTTTGAATTATCATGAATTATATATCACCATAAATATATTTAATAATTATATCTCAATTTTAAAATGACTATAATGATACCAGGCACTGTAGTATACTCCTGTCATCCTGGCAACTCAGGAAGCTAAGGCAGGAGATAAAGAACAGCCTGTGCAACATAGTAAGACCCTGTCTCAAAAAAAGAAAGGGCTGGAGATGTGGCTTAGTGGTAGAGTGTAAACTGCAGTACCACCAAAAGGAAATATAAAGAAAAAGAATTCAGTGTGTTGATGGTATCTGCTTGCTATTATAGGCCTGTGTGCTGACTGTAACTTCATGAGTATTTGGACACCTGGGTCCAATCCACAGTAACTGTCAAAGACTAGAGACAGGTCCTACCTACAACTAGCGGACAATTAGTCCCTCTCCTATAACTTAGGTACTTCAGTTTTTTTTTTGTTTGTTTTGTTTTTAATGGGGAAAGGATGTGGGTGTGTATGTTCAAGGCTTCTGTTTTCTTACTGATTTTTGGCCATTTTTCTATTCATCATTGCAAGTAGGGAATTGAGATCCTGTGTCTTAATCTATTTTGTCTGTGTATTAGTGTAGCCATTCCAGCTGCTATCGATTGAATGCCCCCGTCTAAACATCATGTTGAAATTTAATCCCCATGTGAGGTGTTCAGTCAGTAGAAACTACCATGTTTGAAGGTGGGACCTTTGGGAGGTAATTAAGGTTTAGAGGAACAATCTGAGCTTGGATGCTTTGTCTACATCTTGCCATGGGATGCCTTCTGCTGTCTTAGGATGCCATCAAGTCCCCACCAACAGGAAAAACCTCACCAGATTCAGCTGCCTGGTCTTGAACTTTCCAGCCTTCAGAACCATAAGCCAAATAAATATTTATTTATTTATTTTTTAATATTTATTTTTTAGTATTCGGCGGACACAACGTCTTTGTTTGTATGTGGTGCTGAGGATCGAACCGGGGCCGCACGCATGCCAGGCGAGCGCGCTACCGTTTGAGCCACATCTTCAGCCCCATATTTATTCTTTATAAACTACCCAAGGTGTGGTATTCAGTTATAGAAATAGAAAATAAAGATAGGAGATTTCTTGTGGCTGCTGTTATGCATGATGATTTTTTTCCATCCCGTTAATCTGTCTCTTTAAGGTGTGTGTCTCCTACAAACTACGTAGAGTTGGATAGTTGGGTAGTTTTATCCAGTCTGGTATTTCTGTCTTTTAGATTGATTAATGTTATTTTGATATAATTGGGTTAATATCTGCCATTTTCTGAGTTTTATAACACTTTATTGTTTTTCATTGGATGAATTTTTTTATGGTATTGGATAATGAACCCAGGGGTACTCTACCACTGACTTAACATCCCCAGCCATTTGTTTTTTTAAAAATCGCTGGGATTACAGGCTTTACCATGGGCTTTACCATGCCCAGCTAAAAGAATATTGCTTAATTTAGTATCTTAATTTCTTTAATGATATTTTTATTATATATTTTAGTTTCGTGGAAACATAAGTTATTTTTATTGATTTTCTGATATGGAGATTAAACCCAGGATGGCTCTAACTCTGAGCTCTATCCCCAGCCCTTTTTTTTTTTCATTTTGAGACAGGGTTTTTGCTAAGTTGCTGAGGTTGGGCTCAACTCCTGCCTTAACTTCCCAAGTGACTGCAATTCCCAGTGTGCACTACCAGATGTGGTAGAGGAATTACACTTTTATGTAAAATTGTACGTATTCTTTGATGCAGCAAAAAAATGACATACACATGGCAGTGTCCATTCTGGGTGCCTTGAAACCAGGATAAGGAGCAATTGCAAATTTTCCTCTTAAGAGATTTTTATGAAGGGCTGTAAATAAGACTAGCAGTACAGAACCCTAAGAGATTAGTAATTATGTTTGTTGAACACTCAAAATCCTATAGGCTGTGTGAATTAATTACCCCATGGAGACAGTCTGATGCCAAGAAGAAAGGGGAATGGGATGTTATTTATTTGGGTGCTGCACATGCTAAGCCCGTAACCTGCCACTGAGGAGCCATACCCCCAGTCCCGTGTGTGTGTGTGTGTGTGTGTGTGTAATTTTTTTCCCCTTAGAAGAATAGGCAGCAGAGTATGGGGAAGTAGTATATGAATTGGAGTAGCTGGGGACCAGGGAGGAGAAAAAAGTTCTGAGAGGATCGAAAAATAAACCTATTTTGAATATAAATCAGATTTCAATACAATGAAGTAGAATTGTGAGGTAATATTGAGTTAGATGTCTACGTTTCTTGACTTTTCTTTTTTGTCGGGGGAGTGGGCGGTGGTACTGGGGATTGAACTCAACTACTAGTATTCAACTACTGAGCCACATCCCTATCCCTATTTTGTATTTTATTTAGAGACAGGGTCTCACTGAGACGCTTAGCACCTTGCCATTGCTGAGGCTGGCTTTGAACTCATGATCCTCCTGCCTCAGCCTCTTGAGCTGCTGGACTATAGGCGTGTGCCACTGTGCCAGGCCTGACTTTTCTTCAGAAAATTTTAGGTGCTTTTATGCAAAGAAGGAGATGCTTTCTTTTTTCATTCATTCTTTATTTTATTTTATTGTATTTTATTTTTTTTGTTTCTGGAAGTTGTGGAGATTGAATGCAGGGCCTTGTGCATGCTAGGCAAGCACTCCATACCTGAGATACAGCCCCAACCCAGAGACGAGTTTTGTTATGGTTTAAATAAAAAAGTTTTTCTCTAAAAGTTTGTGTGTGAGACAATGCAAGGAAGTTTAGTGGTGATATGATTGCTTTATGAGAGCCTTAACCTAATCAGTGCATTAATCCACTTGGATGGATTAACTGGTGGTTGATCTATTAGAATGGTCTAAGCAGGTGGAGTACTTGGGAGAAGGTAGGTTGCTCTAGGGCATGCCTTTGTGATATATATTTTTCCCTGATGAGTGGAGCTCTCTCTCTCTGCTTCCTGATTTTTATGTCCCGAAGTACTTTTCTCTGCCTTGTCCTTCTACCACACACACTAGTGAAAAAGCTGACAAAAACAGGTTTTTGTAGGGGGGTACTGGGGGCTGAATCCAGGCCCTAACTAACACACAGTAGGCTAGTACTTTGCCACTGAGCTAGTCCCCAGCCCTTTCTTTAGGCATTCTTGAGAAAACTTTTAACTATCATGACAACTCCCTCCTTCTAATTTGAGTTTTCAGAGTGCTTATATATGCTCTAGTTTAGTTCTGTGCTAGCAAAAAAGGAGAAGGGAGTGGGGGAAAACCCAGTTTACAGTAGGCTCTGTATTAGTTTGCTCGGACTGTGTTTGAGAGAAAACTCCAGACCAAACGTTCTCACATTGCTCACCACTTACCCTCTGGCACCTCTACGCATCACTCCCCATCAACAACCAGCTACCTAATAGACTCCAACTGGGGATATTACAATTAAATTCATTTTATTTTATTTTTTGGTACTGAGGATTTATCCCAGAGGCCCTTTGAAGTACTGAGCTGCATCCCCAGGTCTTATTTTTTATTTTGAGACAGGTTCTCCTTAAGTTGCTTAGGGCTTCCCAAAGTTTCTGACAGTGACCTTGAACTTGACATCTTCCTGCTTTCAGCCTCCCAAGTTGGTGAGGTTATAGGGATTCAACACTGGCTTTTGTCTATTTCTAGATTTATCAATGGACTGTTGGTGAGAGTGCCAACTATTTTAACCTTTTTGAAATAGTTTGTCACTTTATCAAAATTATTTTTATGTGTATCTTGACACATTGATTTTATATATAGGCATTTCTAGAAACATTCAGCACAAATGTAAAAGCACATACGAGATGTTTAGTTTTGGGAGAAAAACCACTTTCTTTTTCTTTACTTTGTTTTTTGTATGGGGGTTGGGGATTGAACCCAGGGGCAGTTTACCACTGAGCTATATCCTCAGTCTTTTTGATTTTTAAATTTTGAGACAGATCTTCCTAAGTTGACAAGTTACTAAGTTTTACTAAGCTACTGAAGCTGGCCTTAAGCTTATGATCCTCCTGCCTCAATCTCCTACATTGCTGGGATTCCTGGATTGCACCACTGCTTCCAACTCAGGCCTGCTTTTCTTGTCCCCTTGACTTTGCTTGAGAGACATCTCCAGCACATGGTATTGGATGTCCCTTCTTCCTTTTTTAAGATTCATACAAGATGCTTTGGTTTTCTGAGAATTTGAGGTCTTACTTTGTTGCCCAAGGCTGATGTTGATCTTGGGATCCTCCTACTTCACCTCCCAAGTGGCTGGGATTATAGGAATGTGATTTTATGCATGAACCAGTGTTTGTTTAGGGAATTGAATACAAGGGTCCTTTGTACTCAGTTACATGATGACCTCCAACTAATCCTCCTGCCTCATTTGTCATCACAAATTGGTTAGGATTACAGGCATGCTTCACCCTTCCAGGCTATGTCTAGAAAATTTCTGAATAAAGTAATGTACTCTGTTTTTTGTTATTGTTGTTTTCTTTGTTTTGTTTTTTTGCTTGAAACTAGCACAGATTAGTTCGAATAAGAAGCTTATGAAAACAAGCAAAAGTAGGGTTAAGGACATAGCTCAGGTATGTCACATGTTCAGCTTGAAGGAGGCCTTTGGTTCGATTCCCTAGCACTGTCCAAAAATAACAAGTAGAACATAAAGTGATAGCCACTTAAATAACAGTAATAACCATGTCATGTAAACAAATGCCTCTTATACATTCTATACATTTAATTGTTGTCTTCTTATTGCAGCTTTTGTTGCTATTCCTTTTCTAAGATTATAGTGTTTTTTGGTCTCAAAATTTCAGTAATTATGATAGACGTAGTTAGCTACTAATTTAAAAAAAATGTTTTTAGTTGTAGATGAACACAATACTTCCATTTTATTCATATATGCTGAGGATCAAACCTAGTGCCTCACACATGCTAGGCAAGTGCTCTACCACTGAGCCACAACCCCAGTCCCAGCTACTAATTTTTTTAGAAATCCTGTCTATGCAGAAGATCAATTTAATAGCAAATCTTTATTTCTTGCAGATTCCTGATATTCAAAAACAACATTTTTATTCCACTGCTACCATATCACACCAGTCATGAGTTGGAATGCAAAGCCAGAAGGTGATATGTTACCACCGCCACCACCACCATATAATAAAAGCCAGTCATCTGTTCTGCACCAGTTTTTTATAAACCAGCTTACCACAACATCTCCAAGTTCTTTCAGCTATCTTGGAAATAATGAAGCATGCATGTATTCCAGTAATTCAAATCCAGTTTCACAGTATCCCAGTAATTCAAATCCAGTTTTACAACCAGTGAAAAATACCAGAAATTATAATACTCCTCAAATTCCTGTTTCTAATACGCAAAACAGGACAGTGATGGCCTCACAAACATCAGTAGAAAGAATAACATGCACGCAATATACTGGACCCAGACAACCAAATCCTAATTTGCAAGTGTCTTCAGGAGTTTCGCAAAATGTGTGGTTGAATTCATCAATGAGGAATTCCATGCCTTCTCATATAGAGGCAACTGTATGTCATCAGGCTGATGTTGGAACTAATATGTCTAATGCTCATGCACTACAGAGTCAACTTGTATCATCAGATAGGTATTCTTTGCAACTACAAATGAACACTTCAAATTCTATAAGAGCTCCTGTAACTTTTCAAGATCAGGGACTTAGCCAATCACTATCAGATCGACAGGTTGATTGGGTGCAACAGTATACATCAAATGAACAGACTTATCGTGATTATAGACGACCTCCAAAGCAATACTCTTATTCATCACAAAGATTTTTACAAGAGCCAGCTGTTCAGAAACAAAACATTGCACCACAAAGCTATTTACAAGAGCCAGCTATTCAGAAACAAAACATGCTATCTACATCATCTCAAGTTAAAAATTGTCAGCTTCCAACCTTAACGCACATTTTACAGTCATCACAGACTCTGCCTGTGTCCTCATGTCAATACCCTACACAAACAAACAAAAGACCCCCTCCTCTTCTTCCTTACCCTTCTGGAAATGGAAGCCAGCCTTTGCCAAATTCTCAACATGTTATAAAAAACTTGCCTATGGAAGTTCCTCAGAGTCCTGAAGTGTGCTCATCTGAACTAAAAGACTCAACTAAAGGCTTTCATCAGCTCTGGCCAAACATTAGTGAAAATTTAAACACAATTGGAAATTTCTGTGATTTGAAAGTACATACTAATATTGCACAGCCTTTTAATGAACCAGTTAGATCTTCTGTGGATAGTGTTCAGACTCCTGCTCAAAATAATCAAGAGAAAAGAATGGATTCCTGCAATCCAGCTTCAAATCGGGTACTAGACACAAAAGAAAAGTTAGTGAGAGATATTAAATCATTGGTAGAAATTAAAAAGAAATTTTCAGAACTTTCAAGGAAAATTAGAATTAATAAAAATCTTCTAATGGGTTATAGGAAAACAGCAAATAGTTCTTGTAGTGGACCAGCTCAGCCTTCTGAATTCTCAACCCAAGGAATATCTGCTAAAAGTGACAGTCACTGTTCCATGGAATTGCTAACAACATGTCTCAATCTTTGGAAGAAGACACCAACAACAGCAACAGAAGAAGCTTCAAAACCTTCAAAGGAAAAGCAGTGTAATGAATTAAAAACAAACACAACTGCGCATGGAATTTCAGTGACTACAGAGGGTGATGAGAAGGGGTTTTGTTCAGTTGAAGGAAATTCTCAGAATAAAAGGGCAGAGTCATCCCAGGAAACAACCTTGACAATGATAACACAAAATTATGACTCTTCTGGTGCAAATGTACCCAAGGGCTCAGAACTTCAGATTGCTATTGTGTCACCCTTGATTCTTTCAAATGTCAGATCATTGCCTCACAAAAGAATGACACCTGAAGCTTTACGTGAACTGGTGTATCCAGTTATCAAAGAAGGTAGTATTTGTAGCTTACAAAGTCAAATGGAAAAAAATAAAATAGTGGATGCTTCAGTGAACATCAATGTTAACAGTCCAGTAGCCAATACTACAATATCAACCAATGCTTTTCCACTAACTCAGAAGGAAAAGCGGAATGAGCCAACTAGTGGTAATTCAGAACACACGTCTAATACCAGTCAAGGAAAGCACTGTCCTCTGGGTGATCAGCAAGCCTCATATAAATCAAACAGCATTTCTGTTGAGAGTGATGATATATTACTGATTGAAAATATTTGTTCTCTTGTTGAAGGCGATATAACTTATAATTCTCAAATAGCAAAGATATTCAACTCTTCCCCTTTGGAAAAGATCGACCCACAGAAACTCTCTTCATCCTATCAGCAAGTGATTAATAGCAGTCAACAAAAAGAACAAGTAGATAATACCACTACAAATAAGGACCTTGGTTTTCAAAGAGATGAATGTGTGCAGTGCACAGATGTTCCTGATGAAACAGTTGATCATTCGTTATCTTTTAAGTATATTGAAACAAACAGAGGAATTCCAGAGGAAAGCAATTTAGAACAAACCATTGAAAAGGAAAGCACAGGTGAAGATGTATGTTGTTCACCTCCCACGATTCAGCAGAGTATTTACCCTCAAGAAATCAAGGCAGCCAGTGATGTCACTACCCAAGATCCTGCAAGAAAGGAGATTCATGATGATGACACACCCATGTTTTATCTACATGACCAGCTCTCAGAACTTCTAAAAGAGTTTCCCTATGGCATTGAAGCTGTGAACTTATATGAAAAGTCTGGGGGCCAAAAAGTAACAGGTCAAATCTCACAAGATCAAACTGGCGATAAAACTATTTGTGATTCTCAGGACTCCACAGACCAAATACATATTACCATATTAAGCTCAGAACAAATGAAAGAATTATTTCCCGAAGATGGTGAACCCTGTGATGTAGACACAGAGGAAGCCTGTGAGGTAGATAGGTTGGCAGAATCTCAGACAGAGAAGCCTATAGCAGAAAGGAGCCTGTCTGTCCCACAAGCAACTACCTCAGAAGCCAGTTGTGATTCTACAACATGGGACCCAGAAAAAGACAAAATCCATTGCTGTGCATTGGGTTGGCTCACAACGGTCTATGAAGGAGTGCCTCAATGCCAGTGTAATTCCATCAAGAGTTCCACCCCAGAGGAAGAGAAAGGGAAGGATCACTGTTCTCCTTTGGAGACCAAGAGTTGTAAACAAGGAGAGACAACCTCAGAAAGTGATATCACTATCCTTGAATTTAATGTTTCAGATAATCCAAAGACAACTCTTACTCTGGTGGCTGAGAAAAAAAATTTTCCTGAAATATGTGGTGAGAGTATAAAAAATACATCTGAAACAAAAAACTGCTCGCTAAGGACAGAACAGGAATTGCCTGGTCAGTTCTCTAAATGTGATGGCGATAAAAAGGACACATCTAAAGCGAAACAGGACAGCTCCCTAAAAGAAAAAGAATTGAATTGTCAATTTTCACCAAAAGGCAACAAACTAGATGGCTTGCAAAGTAATACAAGAAAAAGAAAATTGAAATTTCATGAAGTGTCTTTTCACTTGACTAATAAAATGACAATGGTTTGTGAAGAAGCTTCCCAGGTAAACCAGCAGGAGAAACACATACCACAGAACTCTCATCCACTCCAAGTGAAAACTAAAGAGCTACATAGGAGGAATGGTTCTTTGGGACATTCATTATCACCAGAAAAGAAAAAATTTAAGTTTAGGGTAGGTACCTCCAAACAAAGACATACAGAAGAAAGAAAGTTAGCCCAAGGGAACATACTGGATGGGGAGATAAACAAGGAAAAATCTGATAAACAGGAACAGAAGAAAAATGTGGGAGGTGCACTCAAATTCTGTAATATTTTGTCAAACCCTAATGAGAGAGACAGTGTTAAAGAAAACACAAAGTCCTCAGACTTGAAGCATAATTCATCTAAGAAAATCATAACACCGCAGGAATATTTACAAAGGCAGAAGCATAAAGAATGGATGGCCAACAAAACATCAGAGAAGACATGTGTTAACAATGTACCACATGATTCTGATGGGAGGCCCAGTCAGCTTCCTGTGCAGATGGGGAACTCTGGGAAACCAGGCAGTAGTACAGAGGCTTCTAAAGAACCAGCAAATGTGTTGACCAGCAATGTTAAAAGCCTCAAATTCCACCATTCTGAGAAGTCTAAGAATGACAGTTCAAGGAATGTTAAAGGAAGAGCTGAGCGCATGCTGCCTGACAAAGTGTGTACTGATAAAACCAAAGCTGACCAAAAATCCACCAATACAAGTAGTGAAGTTGAATTCCACCAAATGCCTCCCCAAGCAAACAAGCAAAGAAAGTTGTATCTGAACAGAGTTGCGTTTAAGTGCACGGAACAGAAAAGCATTTGTCTCACCCAGTATGACAGTTCACCACCCCAAAAGCTTCAGAAAGACAAAGAGCAGGAAAAGAACCCTCAGAACTCTTCTCCTGTGAAAGACACCACAGTAAAACCAAGCATGTTAGAGTTTAAATTATGTCCAGATGTACTGTTAAAGAATGAAAACTCTGTCAAAAAAGGGAATGATCAGAAGCCTCATTCTAAGGAGCAAGAGCAAGCCCCCGTGCAAGGTGAAGTATAATTTTCTTGATGTGTACAACATGATGAAGAGGTGTAGGTGATAAAAGGGCCATGTGAATGTGTTACACAGTTACTATTCGTTATTGTCAGATAATGTTTCCTTGAGCAATGTTTGTTTTAGATTTGTGGCTCCCTTATTGTAAATTATAGTAAATTCATAGTAATGACAAGAGATACATAAAATCATAAAGTTTGCCAAATACAGATATTTCATTTACTATCAAGTTATATTGTGAGGGCTGGAGATATAGCTCAGTTGGTAGAGTGGTTGCCTCACTTGCATGAGGCCCTGGGTTTAATCCCCAGCACCACCAAAAAAAAAAAAAAATTGTGAGCCAGGTGCAGTGGTGCACGCCTATAATCCCAGCCACTTGGGATAACAAGTTGGAGGCCAGTCTCAGCAACTTGGCAAGGTCCTGTCAAAATAGAAAATGAAAGGGCTGGGGATGTAGCTTAGTGATAAATTGCCCCTGGATTCAATCCTGATTGCCAAAATTAAGAAATGATAATATTATCGAAAATATTTTTTTGACATAATTTAAAAGCAGTCCTGTAAATTGAAATTTTGTTCTAAATATTGGGAGACATGTAAGGTTAGTAGGAAGGTCCTCTTGTTCATATAGAAATTGATCAATTTATTTTCATCTTTGAAACTGTCAATGACTATTTCCGTAAAGTGCAGATGGTAACATCTAATCTGCACATGAAATGGGGACCAGAAAGCAGTGTCATCCAGTAGTAACTTATGTCACTAAAGACAGAGTGGCAGCCATGAGCAGAGCAGGAATAAAGGAGAAAATGACTGACTAGTTGTTTGTACTCATTTATGTTTGAACATTCAGGAATTGTGATTATTAACATAAAGCACTGTGCTTAGAAATCCAGATTGGAAACCTAAAGGATTTTGAGTAAAAATCTGTCTCTGATGTGTTTTTCTGACTCTCTGTTGGGGTGTATAAAGCTTCAGCATAAACAGGGTACGTTTTCATGGAAGGTGAGAGGAATGTGTGATGAGAATACAGAATTCAATTTGTTAAATGTGGATGATTCAATAATCCATTTCATTTGGGTCCTTAGAACCTGAGGCCTTGGGTGTAGCCACATAAGTGGAAGTAGATGGGCCATGGGACTGGCTTGCCCTCTCATTTCTTTGAATACCCCAGATGTGTCTGTGTTTCAGCCCCCATAGGGAAACGAATACAGAATGTAAAGAGAAACTTTTATTAAAAATAGCTAATTTTTCATTGGAGGTATTCAAGCACTTCATACATCATTTTTCCAGGCCCTAACGTATCTTGGTGTATTCCAAAATCTATTTTCAACTTAATGTGATATTTCTTCATTATATTACAAAAAGAGATGAATAACAATATGTAGAGATCTGAAAATAAATATTTAAATAGTTTCAGGAATAAAAAGTACAAAAGAAGATTGGATAAAATGTGTGACTGTGAAGAAAAGGAAGCAGGAAACCAGCCAAGAAACAGGTAAAATTGTCTATTAATTATATTATTTGAAACCATGTAAATTAGATTATGATTTTAATGCTTAAGAAATGATTTTATCCATATCCTTTTAGTCATTCGATGTTTTTATGAGTGGTAAGAGGGCATTCTCCACTTTTCTGTCATGCCATATGGGCTAGGAAGCTGGGGTCTATTATTTCCTTTTAAAAAAGAAAGTAAATCTCATCACTTTGAGTTAGCTAAGGGGTTTTCATATTTTTCCTATATGAGGCCATATAGTAAACGTTTTAGATATCTCAGGTTTTTAGCCTAACTGCTCAATTCTGTCATTGTTCCAAGAGAGAGGCTGCAAATAATGTGCAAATAAATTAGTGGAGACTAAGTTCTTAGTAAACTCTTTACCAAAATAGACAGCAGGCTGGACTTGCCCTCAGGTCAGAGTTTCCCTCCTCTTAGGCAATTTACAAGTTAGTCATTTTAATCCTCAAAGAGGCTAGGATATTTCCATTTTAAAGATGAGACATCATTTTGGTGCCATGGACTGCATTTGCATTGACCCAGACATAGCAGTTAGCACAAATCGGGGATCTGATGAGCTTTTCTCTACATGTGTCACTGAAGGACCCTTTATAATGAGCAGCAACTCTACCTCTGCAGCAAACGGAAATGATAGCAAGAAGTTCAAAGGTGACAGCAAGAGTGCCAGTGTCCAGCCCCCTGTGATCCACATCAACAAGCTGCCCAGTGAAGTCACCAAGGGCGAGGTACTCTCCCCAAACCGAGCACAAGCTGAAGTGGCCCTGCAGGCTGGGAACTCTGTCCATTCGGCGAACCTGACCTGTGCAAATCAGGGATCTGACGAGCTTTTCTCTACGTGTGTCACTGAAGGACCCTTTATAATGAGCAGCAACTCTACCTCTGCAGCAAACGGAAATGATAGCAAGAAGTTCAAAGGTGACAGCAAGAGTGCCAGTGTCCAGCCCCCTGTGATCCACATCAACAAGCTGCCCAGTGAAGTCACCAAGGGCGAGGTACTCTCCCCAAACCGAGCACAAGCTGAAGTGGCCCTGCAGGCTGGGAACTCTGTCCATTCGGCGAACCTGACCTGCGCAAATCAGGGATCTGACGAGCTTTTCTCTACATGTGTCACTGAAGGACCCTTTATAATGAGCAGCAACTCTACCTCTGCAGCAAACGGAAATGATAGCAAGGAGTTCAAAGGTGACAGCAAGAGTGCCAGTGTCCAGCCCCCTGTGATCCACATCAACAAGCTGCCCAGTGAAGTCACCAAGGGCGAGGTACTCTCCCCAAACCGAGCACAAGCTGAAGTGGTCCTGCAGGCTGGGAACTCTGTCCATTCTGCGAACCTGACCTCGGCCACAGCTGTGGATGCAGGGATGACAATAGCTGGGCACAGCCCTGTGCTCAGGATCATCATAAAGAACGTCTTCTTCCCTGTGACCCTGGATGTACTGCACCAGACTTTCTCCAAGTTCGGCACAGTCCTGAAAATCATCAAGTTCATCAGCAACAACCAATCCCAGGCATTACTGCAGTACGCAGATCCTGTGAGCGCCCAGCAAGCCAAGCTGTCACTGGACAGGCAGAACATCCTTGATGGCTACTGCACACTACGCATCTACTTCTCCAAAATCACCAACCTCAAGGTCAAGTACAACAACGACAAAAGCCATGACTACACACGCCCAGACCTTCCCTCTGGGGACAGCCACCCTCCACAGGAACAGACCATGGCCACAACCTCTCTGTATGCAGGACCTGGGTTCCCTCCAACCTTTACAATTCCTCAAGCCGTGGTTCTTTCTGATCCTAATGTGCATAGAGCCCCAGCCCTGTTGCCCACCCCAAGCCTGGCAGGGCCTGGGAACTCCATTCTGCTGGTCAGCAACCTCAATCCCAAAAGAGTCAGACTCCAAAACCTCTTTATTCTTTTCGGCCTCTATGGTGATGTGCAGCGGATAAAGATGTTCTTCAACAAGGAGAACGCGCTTGTGCAGATGACAGATGGGAACCAGGCCCTGCTGGCTATGAAGCACCTGAACGGGTTAAAGCTGCATACGAAGCCCATCCACATCATGCTGTCCAAGCATCAGAGCTTAGATCTGCCCCACGAGGTACAGGAGGGCCAGGGCCTCACCAAGGACTTCAGCAACTCTCCACTGCACCGCTTTAAGAAGCCCGACTCCAGATCCCTCCAGAACATCTTCCCGCCCTCCGCCACCCTGTTCCTCTCCAACATCCCACCTTCCCGAACAGAGGAAAACCTCAAGGTCCTGTTCTCCAGCACTGGGGGCGTGGTCAAGAGGTTCCAGTTCTTCAAAAAGAACCGTAAGCTGGCGCTGATCCAGATGGGCTCCGTGGAGGAGGCAGTGCATGCGCTCATCAACCTGCATAATCTTTACCTGGACAAGAAGCACCATCTGTGGGTCTCTTTTTCCAAGTTCACGTCTTTGGCTGGGCTCCCTGGAGCCACTTCCATCATTCCAAAAAAAGCCATATTAAGAAGAAGCAGCTGAAGTGACCCTAACAGACCAGAGATTTTATTGTTCTAAAGAGAGAAGTCAGTTTACTTTTTTAAAAAATAAACTTAATCTAGCTCACCTTGCTGACAAAGAAACATGAGCCATTACTGGCTCAGGCTGTAGCTCAGTGGTGAAGGACTTGCCTAGCATATATAAGCACCTGTTGTCCCAGCAACACAGGAGACCAAGGCAGGAAGATCCCAGGTTCCCGGCCACCCTCAAGGACTTGGCAAGACCCTGTCTCAAAATAAAAAGGGCTGAGATTAAATGCACTCCTGCACACACACACACACACACACACACAATAAAAAGTCACATCTATACAAAATGTACATTGAATGTGGATCTTTGGGGGTTCTTTTGTTGTTGTTTTTTGGTACTAGAGATTGAACTCAGGGGCACTCGACCAGCCCTTTTTTGTATTTTATTTAGAGATGGGGTCTCACTGAGTTGCATAGAATCTCACTGTTGCTGTGGCTGGCTTTGAACCCATGATCCTCCTGCCTCAGCCTCCTGAGCTGCTGTTGTGTGCCACAGTGCCCAGTTGAATGACTTTATTAAGCCAGGATAAAGGTAAGGGAACCCAGCCCTGGGCTATGAAAATGGGGTTGACAGGAGGAAACACGAAAGGCAAGAGCTCATGTGTATACGCTTCATTAACTCTTTTCCTAACATTTTTGTCCCATTGATAAATGTATAATTTTCTTCAATTTTTTGATTGTATATTGGTCATGTATGAAGAGTAACAAAGAAAATAAAGTAACATTTCTGTTTCTTTAGATGAGACTAATTTAAGACTTTGCAAGAGAAGCTTCAGTGCAGATGGATTTGAGAAAGTACCAAACCCTATAAAAGATTCAGTGTTTCAGACCTACAAACAGATGTACCTGGAGAAAAGAAGCAGAAGCCTTGGTAGCAGCCCTGTAAAGTAATCCCAAGATGTGGTTTTATAATTGCCACTAGGAAGTTCTGTTTACTTTCTGTTCAGCATCTTGCTGGAAATAACTCAGGATTGCTTCCACAATAAAGATTTCTCATCCAGAGAGTTTGGTTACCAGTTATGTTTCATTTATACTGCTTAATTAAAATGGCTTGACAACTTTGTGAGTTAAGAGACATAAGAAATGGATGATATTTGTCAGTGAAGCTATAAGGTGTTTGATCCTAGACATTGTTGAACCACAATGATTATTTAAGAAGGCTTGTACAAATGCTACCTGTCCATCCTGAGGGATGACTGTTCCTCAGCTGAGGGCTTGTTTATTTAACTTGGACTGTACATATTTCTGTTTCTAAGCTACATTAGCAAAACTTATTTTTCAAAAACACTCACTGTGAATGTCAATATATTCTTAAGTATTTTATACCTAATTGTAAACTTTTCATTTCTTGTTTTATACTGGTTAAAGCTGACCATAATTTTTGCATAATGTCTTAATGTTACTTTTCATACTTGAAATAAACATTTATTTTTAAAAAAAAAAAAAATCACCATAGTTTTGTTACTTTGTTTCCTAACCTCACAGAAGGACATATTTTGGGAAGGTTTTTAAAATGCTACACCAGGGCTAGTGACACACCTGTAATCCCTGTGATTTGGGAGGCTGAGACAGGAGGATTGTAAGTTTGAGGCCAGCCTCAGCAAATTAGGTCCTCCACCACTTGTTGACCCTGTCTCAAAAAATAATGACAGGGACTGGAGATGTAGCTCTGGTGGTAGAGCACTTCCCAAGTGGTAGAGCCCTTGAGTTCAGTAACTGGTATCAAAAGGAAAATTCTTCAGTGGTTACATAATAGTGTTTCAGAAACAAGTATAATAATGATGTCTAACTCATTCCACCATCATTTCCTCTTTCCTCCCCTTTGCCCTATCTAAAGTTTCCTCACCTCCCATGCTCCCCTCCATCACCATTATGAGTCAGCATCCTCATATCAAAGAAACATTCGGCCTTTGGTTTTTTGGGATTGGCTTGCTTTACTTAGCATTATATTCTCCAACTCCATCCATTTACCTGCAAATACTCAATGTTCCACTGTGTGTATATATACCAAAGCTTTCCTATCCATCTACTGAAGGGTGTCTGGGTTGGTTCCATAATTTAGCTCTTGTATCTCACTGTAGTTTTGATTTACATTTTTTTTGATAAGCAAGCATTTTTTCACGCCTTTGTATTTTTTTTAATAGAATTTTTAATATTTTTTTCCGCGGACACATCATCTTTATTTGTATGTGGTGCTGAGGATCGAACCCAGCGCTGTGCTTATGGCAGGCGAGTGCACTACCACTTGAGCCGTATCCCCAGCCCTACCATTCATATTTCTTTGGAGAAATATCTTCAAATAATTTCTTTTAAAAATTGTTTTTTATTATTTTATTCCTGATTAGTGATATTTTACTTTTTGAATTCCATATGTCTCCTGGGTATTGATCCTTTTTAGGGTGTGTAGCAGATACGTTCTCTCCCAGTCTGTGGGTTGTCTCCTCCCTACGGCACCTCGGTTGTTTGTCAATGTTTGCTTTTGCTTCCTAAAAATTTTTTGCTTCAAAAAATTATTGCCTGCTGTAATCCCAGCAACTGAGGGGGCTGAAGCAGGAGGATCCCAAGTTGGAGGTCAGCCTCAGCAATTTAGACCCTATCTCAAGAATAAATAAAAGGGCCGAGAATGTAGCTCAGTGGGAGAGTGCCTTTGGATTCAATTCTCAGTACCAAACACACACACACCAAAAAAAAAAAAAAAATGAAGAGGGGCTGGAAGGCAGGTATGTGACATGTGCCAGGCCATGGGTTTAATCTCCAGCACCAAAATACTGAAATTGAGCCACAACATTCCAACTCATATTCAAAGTAAGCTGGTTACTCAAGGACTTTATTATTATTTATGGTGCATAGGATTAATTGCACCATCCTAGAAGCTACCAACCTCATCCTTTCCTAAATTCACCCCTAAATTGGTCCATCTTAGAATGACAGTGGAAGACCTGAAATGGGAGCATGATCTTTCTGTTGGACTGGAGTAGCCTGGTGCTTACTTTGACCAAGATAAGGATAAGTGTTTCAGACCTACAAACAGATGTACTTAGAGAAAAGAAGCAGAAGCCTTGGTAGCAGCCCAATGTGAACTGTGCTAGCCAGTGATGGCAGGCATTGGTGCCTCTCTTAATTTGTCTACATGGGATACTGAAATATATTCAAAGGTGCCTTTGAGTTAACCAGTTACCTAGTCCAGTTGTAGCTAAGAGGTGGGATTATAGCTCAGTGGTTTAGTACTTGCCTAGCACGTGTGAGGCACTCTGTTCACTTCTCAGCACCACATATAAATAAATAAAGGTCCATTGACAAGTTAAAACAAAAAAACCACCCTTTATTAAATTCGTGCTTGGACCCCTTGAATCCACAGTACTTTGCAGCTATGTTGGTAGTTTATACTCCAAACTGTTCTGCGTGACTGACAAAGGGCCCAGCTGGCTGTGCTGTGAAGCCTCAGCTCTCCCTCTCTGCCCGATTGTGCTTTCTTCTGCCATACTGTTTACTTGTATGACAACCTCACCTAAGCAAAAGCTGTGGAGACATTTCAATGACCCAAACATGTGATTGCTGCAGGTGGGAAGTCCTATCACCACTCTGTGCGCTTCAGATACAACTACAGTGCACAGATCCCAAGAGTATCAAGTACCCTTGGACCACCTCCCAGCAGCAGGGCACAGTCCCACACCGCTGCACAGAACCTCATTCACCGTTTTCCCATACAGGCATTTTCCTTCCATGCTGGTCTCCAGGCCACGCTCTCCAATGTTGCTTGCTTGCTTGCTTGCTTTGTTTCTTTCTCTCTTTCCTTCTTTAGCATTACCTTGTTGATTTTTTTTTTTTTTTAGTTGTCAATAGACCTTCATTTTATTTATTTGCAGTTCTGAGAATCAAACCCAGGGCCTCACACACGCTAGGCAAGTGCTCTACCACTGAGCCACAACCCCAGCCACACCTTGTTGATTTTTTTATATTATAAGAATGCTTATCAGATAATATTATATTTCTTCTGAATATCTAGACAATTTAGGAGCTCAAGGGCAGGCATGCTGGCTTAATTATATCCATATTCACAGTACCTGTTGTCTAGCATGTGCTGTTCAACAGAAATGAAATGTGAGCCATATGTAATTCTAAATTTTCCAGTGGTCACATTAAAAACAGCAAACATAAGTAGGTGAATTCAAGTTTAAAAGTGCATTTATATCCAAGTGGCTCATATCTATAATGCCAATGATTTGGGAGCCTGACACAGGAGGATCACAAGTTCAAGATCAACCTCAGTAACTTAGCAAGACCCTGTCTCAAAACAAAAAAGGCTGGGGATGTGTGTCAGTGGTTAAGCACACCTTGGTTCAATCCCTGGTACAAAAAAAGACATTTACATTACTTTTTCTTTTTGTCAATACTGAGACTTTGAGTTATGATGTATATTTTATGTGTATCCTAATTTATATTAGCATTTCAAATGCTCAGTAGACATTTTTGGCTACTGGCTACTATATTGTATAACATAGACTAGGTGTTATATGAGGGCTGGGGATGTGGCTCAAGCGGTAACGCGCTCGCCTGGCATGCGTGCAGCCCGGGTTCAATCCTGAGCACCACATACAAAAATGTTGTGCCCACCAATAACTAAAAAATAAATATTAAAAAAATTCTCTCTAAAAAAAAAAAAAAAGTGTTATATGAGACTCCTCTATCCTTAGGATATAAGAAGTGCTTTTGTGTGTGTGTGTGGTATTAGGGATTGAACCCAGGGCCTTGTGCATGGGAGGCAAGCATTTTACCAACTGAGTTATATCCCCAGCCCTTGTTTTGTTTTTTAGTAAAAAGAAAAATTTAAAGGTTAAATAACTTGTCCAATGAGTGTCGGAACAAGGTTCAAACCCAGTGCTCTTTTGAATTCTCTCAACCTATGCCCCCTCTGTGAACAGATGGAGGAATCGGTAAGTTAATTAGTAGTAAGCAGCACATTTATAAGGATATTAAGCCCTACCATGAATGCCTTGCTATGTGAAGCAGATTTTTTTTTTAAAGAAAGAGTGAGAGAGAGTAAGAGAAGAGAATTTTTTTTAATATTTTATTTTTTAATTTTTGGCAGACACAACATCTTTGTTTGTGGTGCTGAGGATCGAACCAGGCCGCACGCATGCCAGGCGAGCGCGCTACCACTTGAGCCACATCCCCAGCCCCAATGTGAAGCAGATTTTTAATAAGTAAATACCAGAAAATATTTAGAAGTGATTGAGAAATAAACATTAAGATACACTT